GCACGTTCATGAGGAACATCCTAGCGACCGACCGGAGGCACGCAGGACGCAGGGGCCAGTCTGCCTGCCAATCGCTTCACATCCTGCGGGGAAGAGAGCACACGGGTGAGACGCGCTGCAGGAGGGGCAGTGCCGGTGGCCGCGTGGCCTCCGCGTCCTGGGCTGTGCAGGGAGGGCTGCTGGGAGGGCTCAGGAGGAAGATGCGTCTTCGCTGCCCGCCTCCCGCCGGAAAGCACCCACAGGAGTGCCCACGTGTCTGCCCTCTCCCGTCCCTGTGCCCACTCGGCACCCCCACCTTCTCTGAGAGGAAGAGGCTGCTTGTACCTTAGGAGGCTGCCCAGGGGTCCAGGCGATGAAGGCCGCACACCCTTCTCTGCAGGTTCAGGGGCAGGAGGACTCGGACCCTAGGGGGTGAGTGGGAGGGACCCCGGGGGTCGGTTCATTCTTGACGGGAGCAGCGAGCCCCTGAGAGAGAACATTACGAGAGGTGAACAATTCAGCAATCGCATCCCCAAACATCTTTAAAGAGTCACTTTTTATTTAAAAACTAGTGGCCTGGTGCACGAATTCGTGCACATTGAAAGGAAATTAATTAGAAGAAATATCTTAATATCGCTATTCACCCTTTCTCTATGACAGAAGTGTCAACCAAATTCATGGTGGATGACAACAGACCGAAACACACGGGTGTGATTGGTGCCAGTGAGAGCTTTATATGTTTTGCACATGCGCGAGTCAACTAGTCTCTTATAGATATAGAATAAACCTGCTTAATCAGACCTGCTTTCTGATTTAGCGAAACTTTTTCCAGCCCAGTGACACAGCCCAACTTGTCTTTCAGGTAATTGTCAGCAACACAGCAGTAAAATCAACATGAAGCAGATTATTATTGCAGATCACGCAGGGAGAACAAAGGGTAGAATATGTAACTGTGGCCGTGTCTGACTATATTCTGCTCAGTGAGAAAACCTGAAGTCATTTTCAAGGTCCACCATTTCTTTTTTTCAGTCGGGTCAAGTTTCTAAGCTTTCTAAATCTCCATTTTCCAGGTAATGAAAAGAAAATAGGATTCCACCGAGTCTCCTATCTGCCTACTCCAGGACTTTTGTGAGGATCAAATGAGATGAGGCATGGGAAAAGCCTTCACGGACATTTGGTTACCGTGTGAAATGTTTGCACCTGGCTATAAAGCAAGTCCTGTTCCTGGGCTGAAGAAACTGCAAGGAGGCTAGTCGCTAGGGAGAGGAAGCCGGGCGTTGCTATGTGACGTCATTACCCAGCACCCACAGTGACCGTTTAAGGCTGGGCTGTGGGCCGCATTTTGCGCCATGGGGTCTCGGCAGCGTCAGCTGCGATTGGTGGCTGTCACTCTGGGGTGATGGCGGAGCCTGTGTCCCACTTGGGGGAAGCTGAGTGTTGCTTTGTGGGCGCCAGGTCCGCGGTGCCGTTTCTCTGTAAGTGGCTAGTGCGCGTCACGGCAGCTCCTGCGGTCAGTGTCTGCCCACTGGTGGTCAGTGCGTGTCATAGTGACCGGTTGGACGGTCAGACTCTTAGCATTTTAGCCTTTTATATATATAGATGTCAAATGTAGCCCAGCTGCCATGGCTCAGTGGTTGAGCGTTGACCTATGAACCAGGAGGTCACAGTTCGATTCCTGGTCAGGGCACAGGCCTGGGTTGCGGGCTCGATCCCCAGTGTGGGGCGTGCAGGAGGCAGCCGATCCATGATTCTCTCTCATCATTGAGGTTTCTCTCTCCCTCTCCTTTCCTCTATGAAATAAAAAATATACATTAAACACACACACACAGACCAGGAACTACAGCGTCAAGGAATTTCTTGCACTTACTTGAAACTCTCTTCAAGTGCAGGTTCAGAGTTTGGACAAAGCGGCCAACGTTGGCGCGTCGCAGGCCTGAGGTCTCCATCGCCCCACCTGCCCGCGTGGGGTCCTTTACAGCGTGTGAGAGAGACTTTGCGCTGCCAGGATAGAGAGAGGCAGAGACACTGAATTCACAGGCGACCCTATATGTATATCTTTATGGAAAGAAACAGCATCAACTTAAGGGCCCCAAATTCAATGTTGGAAGATTTGCCCTGAGGCCAAATAGAGTTCATCACAACTAGGTTACCACCCCCGGCCAGTCGGACGCTGGGTCGCTGGTGGAAGCAGGTGGCCCAGCCCCCGTCCCTGCCGCCCATGTCCTTGCCCTCACGTCCCAGCCGCAGAGCAGTGGGCCCAGCGACGGAGGGGCCTGGGTGTGGAGAGCCTAGGGGAGACGGCTAACCCTTAAGCACTCCCGTAAAAGCGGCCCCATCCCGGGGGTGGGTTGGGGGGGGACAGCCCGCAGGCGAAGCCGGAGAGAACCGGCGGCCGGTGTTCACCGAGCGACGGCGCACGGCTGGCTGTAGAGCCTGGCCTCCTAGCAAACGGTTTTGTGACCGGTCAACCGGCCCAGGGCCAGATGGAGGCCAAACACTCAGGGGCGTCTGTCCGCAGCAACAGCCCGAGGGGAACCCCTCAGGAGAACTCCCTCGATCACACTGCCCCTGCCCCCCCTCAGAGGCCAGGCCAGGTCAGAGCCTGCGGGAGGACACCAGCCGGACCCCAAAGCCGCCTAATGCCCCCACACATCACCTAATGCCCCCATTAGGAAAAGTGGTGGCGGGCCCTGGGCATCCTCTCGGGCTGGAGCCTGGACACCCTTTTCCGGGCGGAGAACACCAGCTGCGGATCTTGCACAGCCCGGCTCCCTGCACCTAATGCCCCCCACACATCACCTAATGCCCCCATACATTACCTAATGCCCCCCCCACATCACCTAATGCCCCCACACATCACCTAATGCCCCCATTCACCACCTAATGCCCCCACACATCACCTAATGCCCCCACACATCACCTAATGCCCCACCCCACATCACCCACAGTGGTCCAGCCCCTGGTGCCTCCCAGGGTGCGTCCCCTGGGCTTACGGAGGGGAGGGCCCGGCAGGCCCAGGCAGGTGGGAGGTGGGCCCGTGGGCCAGATAGGAGGTCAGACCTCACAATCCTGCAGCTCGGTCTCCCAAAGCACAGCTGCAGGGCCACACTGGTGCCTGGGGCCCGAGGCAGGTGAGGCCCTCCCAGTTGACCCCACCGTGCCCTGTGCCCTCTGACCCCCAGCACGGAGCTCCCTTCCTGGGGGCGCTTTTGCCCGCACCGCCTCTGCTGGGGTCGCAACCAGGTCCTCAGCCACGTCAGGGTGAGACCCCCGCGGGGAGGGCAGCCCCACGCAGTCTGCACCGGGTTGCTTCTGGGGTCCAGGGGCCGGCGGGGGGCCAGTGACCTCCCGGAAGCTGCGCCAGA